CGGCGGCGGCCAACAGCGACACCCGGAGGCGCCGCCGCAGCACTGCAGCCGCCTTTGAGCTGCGCTGGGGCTGCGGCTGCACCGGCGCTGGGGTCTCTCCTCGATTTCAATCAGCAATCAAAGCGGCACCTGCTTAATGTGTTTCCTAAGACCTTTATAACTGAGATGCGCTGTCGGGTGGTTCTAGGTAATTATCACAGTTCATAGTGAGAATCAAATATCCATAAATACTCATAGCTAAAATAGAGGAGCAATAAATGATATTAGAAGGAAGACTTCAAGAGCATTTGTGCACAATGTGAGATCTCTTGAATTCTGCTGAATTCATTACCTGGGATGAATTAACCTGAGAAATCGATCAGCCTAAAGCAATTGAAAGGATATCTTTGCTGAGGTAGCAGATTTAACAGTTACTCTTTTGTTTGTGATTCTTGAAATGTTCTTCTTTTCATCTCCCTACTTGACTATGGCAAAGTGCAAAGACACACTGAGTCCTTCATAGAGTCAAACAATAGTTTCAGTTCAAAGGGTTCTTTTAAGGTCATTCAATCCCCAGCTCTGCCATAGGCAGCAACACTTTCCACTAGACTAAAACATTCAAAACTTCATCCAACCTGCCCTTTAACTGCAGAAGTATCTGTAACTTCTCTTGGAAAAAAAAAAATTTTTTGTCCTATACCCTGTCACTACAGGCCCTGATTAAAAGGCTCTCTCCATCTTTTTGTTGAGCTTAAATAAATAATAATAAATGGAAAAGGGGAAAAAAATCCACACAAAGGCCTCTTTTCTCCATGTTTAAGGACCTGAACTCCTTCATCCCTTATTTATAGCAAAGGTGTTCCCACCTTCAGATCATTTTTGTGGTTCTTCTGCAGAAACCAGCAGCTCCATGTCTTTTTGGTGTCTCACAAAAAGAGCTAAGAGAGGATGAAGTACCCCTATTCTGTTAGCCTTATTACTCATTATACTTGGCAAGATACAACTTTAAGAGCAGTAAGTACACTTTACCAAATAGTTTTCCATTTTATTACTCACCAGTAACCCCATCTACTTCTCTACAAGGCTGGTCTCAATTTCCCACTGGAGATTACCCTGAGGCAGGTGCAAGACCATTTCTTTGGTCTTGTTGAACTTCATGATGTTTGCACAGGCCCACTCCTCCAGCCTATCAAGGTCTCTCCAGTTGGCATCTCTGCCCTCTCCTGTTTACATCAATTCATCCTGACATCCAACAGAACTCAGGGACACCACATCTCCTGCCTTCACACCTGCTGTACCATGAACAAGAGGCACTAACACATGATGCATTGCTGAATGAAGCAATGCTGATAATCACAAGAAAACCCTCAGGCATGTCAAACTAAGAAACAAAACCCAAAAATGTAAATGAGAGAAGTAAGGTAAGGAAGCATCAGGAGACAAGGACTGATCAGAGAACTTCACTGGGAAACCTTCAGGGTCTTCACTGGAATTCACTTCTGCCAGCACTTGGAAGTCACTGAGATCTCAAGTTGTAAGTGCAGCCCTCAAACCTTACACCAGACTACGTAGTTATGGGATTAATTTTAAGAAAGAGTCATCATCTCTCAGCAATTCTACTGTGTGGCTCTGCATTTCCAATCTTTAGTTGCACCATGGACAAGACCTGAATTCTGACTACAGGGAAGCACCAGGGAAAAGAACATTTCATTCAGTCCCATATTATGGAAACATAAACTTATCAAAGTGTTTCTCTTAGCTGGTGTCCACCCTCAAGGTATGGAGAAGAATTTCTCTCCCACCCTGGCAATTCCGAAGCACAGAATCAAAAGCTGGAAGAGACCTTCAAGATCACCTGGTCCAACCCTCAGCCCAGCACTACCATAATCACCCCTAAACCATATCCCCAAGTGCCACATCCAGAGGCCTCCCAAACACTTCCAGAGAGGGTGACTCCACCACCTCCCTGGTCAAGTTATTCCAATGTCTGATCACTCTTTCATAGAAACAAGTAAGCAAAAAAATCAAATATCTAATCTGGGTTTCCCATTATACAATTTAAGACCATTTTCTGTCCTTCTTTCCCTTAAGACATGGCAGAAGAGAACAACCTCCACCTCACTACAATCGCTGTTTGAAGTAGTTTGTTTGGAAGGGTTCTTTCAAGTTCATTGAATCCCCAGCTCTACCATTGGCAGGAACACTTTGCACTGGACTAAAACACTCAAAACCTCATCCAACCTCATCAAAACCTCATCCAAACAGAACAATGAGGTGTCCCTTGCGCTTCCTCTTCTCCATACTAAATAACTCCTATTATCTCAGGAGAACTGAAATATCTTGAACTTTTCCTCAAAAGCTTAAACAGCTTTGGTGTGTTCACAGGATTGCCAGGCACAAGGAGGCCCAGCTTTACTCTTTGACACGAAGTAAACAAATAAATAAACCACAGCAAGAGTGAGAAATCATCAGAAGTGTATGAACCACAGATTCACATTTCAGATTATGTCAGATGTAGGAGGAACACAAAGGAAACTGGTTAGTAGGAAGTACGCAGGAGGCTCACACAGGAGCTCACAGCTCAGAGCCCAGACACACTCATGTCTCTGGCAGTGAAAAAACAAACAAGTCTGGAACCACAGCTGTGGCCTCATCCAACAACTGGGTCAAACTGGAACGTTACACTGTTCTTTCAGCCACTTGACACTGCTACAGTGTGAACTCCTGCACCAGCCTTTTCTCTGGACAGACAGATCTCTTTTCCCCATCCACAAACCACACCACAGGAAAGTTAAATCTGCAAACACACACCACTACAAGAAAAGTTGCACACACAAGTTCTTAGATCCCAAGTATCCCAACAAAAATTATTCTGCTCATTACAATAATTGGAATAACTTTAAAATGTTATACAGAACAAAAGCAATCAGCAGCTCAGTTAAAAACCTGGGTATCAAAGTATCAGCTCAAAGGGAACATCACACATGGGTTCTTTGAAAGCTCTACCACTCAAAGTGTAAGATGTGTTGAACCCAAAACTTGGCCATTTGAGCCCAAACCATGCAATAACAAAAAATAAGATTCCTTCTGACTTATTTTCTGGTGGAAAAGTTCCAACCCTGGGAATCAGCAAAACACAGGCCATGTCTCCACCAGTACCTCCTCACACACAACACATCCAATAGGCCCTTCAGACTCTCTTCTTGGTTATGTAACTAAGAGTAGGCAATAATTCAGGTGTTTAGTAAGCAGTGAATACACAACTTGCTTTTCCCAAAGCTCCCACACGACCTTTGTAATAATTAGGCTGTGCAGTTACACAATTATGACAACATGCAAACACAAAGAAGGAACCTCCCAGGAGTGGAATAACATGTCCTCTGGACAAACATTTCAGGAAAGAAAACTTCACATTTCATGATAATACAGGTGGGTAATGAACCAGAGAACAAAAAAAAAGCATTCTCTTGTGGCCTTCAAGAGACTCTCATGCACAGTTCCAAGGATTCGAATCTCCCACACTTCTCAACATCCAGGGTGCTCAATGACCCATCTAACTGATATGGCATATAACAGTTACCCAGACCATTTCTCTTCACATCACTGTCACACAGGTATCTTTATAAATCTGTATGAAAGAAGATATGTTTGAATCTAATTTACAAGCATATGGCCCATAAGGCCCACTGTATCAGACCATTTATCTTCAATCCATTGACTTCACACAGATGTCTTTACATTTCTGCATGAAGCTAAATTTGTCTGCTCATTGATCTTCTGTGAAGAAACCTCAAAGTTCTTAAACGAAAAGAGGAGCAGTGCTCCTGTGAATGTATGCAGACAAGCACAGTGGGTCAATGAATAGGGGCAATCACACTCTCCTTACATCTCCCTCTGCACCTTGAGTCTCTCCCCTCGTGCTCATGCAAGGCTCTTACCATGACACGTATTTTATAGCCGAGGCACATCTAGCCCCATTTCACATGGCTCAACCTTAAAAGACAAGAAATCAGTAGAACACCCCTGCCGTTTCCTCCTGCATTTCCCTCTCCACGTGCAGCCACTCACGACTCTTTTTGAGCAGTTACAGCTTTCAACATGATCCTTCATCTTCATAACAGGCAGACAGACATCATGAATGCACCAGTTGTTGCCCAGCACTTTTCCATACAGGAAACTCAAAGAGCAAAGTATGGATGAGTGTGAAGATATAACCTAATGACCTCCAGTATGTATCACCGAGGTACATTAAGGCTACAAGAGTACAAATGATGAGCAGCAAAGTTACTCATGGAGTTGTCAAAATTACAACCTAGAAATCCTCACCGAAATCAAGCGCATGTGCCTTCGGGAAGACACTTGAACCTGCAAAGACCACAATTTCCTAATAAGGCAACACATCTGTACAGAAGACCAAGGACTGAAAGGAACACGAGCGTTACACGTCAGGGCACATAACGGAATTGGCGCATGATGAAAACACAAAGCCTCACTCAACCTTCCAGCCACCATCAGCCCCACTACACCTGCCTCCCCAGCAACCTGGAGGACCACGCAAGGACCCCTTATCCACCACCCACCAGCCTACGGAGTGTCAATGCACGAACCTTTGCCAGCTTTGCCTGTAAACTTCTGAATAAAGAGAACAAACATCGGCGGGGAAAGAGCAGCACAGCAAAAGGGGAAGCTTCGCAGAGACAGTATGGTCAGAAGAACTCACCGGGGGAGGGGTTGGGTCCGCGTTCTGGGGACAAGCAAGATCCTCGTCACCGAGCAGCGGCGCGGGCTCGTCGGGCGGTGGACGGGCCGGGAGGGTGTCGCAGCAGCTGGCGGCCGAGAAGCGCAGGTGGCTCTTGCGCGAGTCGGCCGTGAGAGACACGTCGTGCGAGTAGGAGTGCAGGAAGGCGCGGACGCCGTCGATGCCCACGAAGTGCGTGGCAGGCACGCCGCGCAAGGCGGCGCCGGCCGTGGCCAGCAGCTGCTGCTGCTGC